GATCTAACCCTAAGGTAACCCCACTTTTAAGTTATCCCCAGCAGAGTCGCCAGTTCTGTGATACGGTGGGAGAACTAACTTGAGGTTTTGCGTTTGTTTTCGCAAATGTTTTGGTTGAGCAAGAGTCGCCACCGACTTTTTATTTTATCCTAAGGAAAGGTTAAAAAGCACAGCAAAAACCTTTGAGATATTTTCTTGGGTTCGAGGGGTAGATTATAGAAAGGGAAGGTATTAGCACCCTTTCTATCCATGGTTATCCATGGGCTCTTAGTTACTTGCTTAGATCACTTGCCTTGCATTTTCTATTGTTTGAAATGGTGCTTTGTGTGTGTGGGTTTGAAAATGTTTTGAAAAAGAGGCCAATGTGGTGGCAACCTTTGTAATGATTCATGTTTGAATGTATACAAAGGTGTATATCTTTTGAAAAGTTTTCAATGTTTTTTGAAAGTTGTTTTGAAAGTGTTGTGGAGTGTGGTTTTGAAAAGTAGGCAAGTGTGTTTTGCAAGTTTATCAAGTAACTAAGAGTTGTCTACCCCTAAATTTACTCAAAGGTTTTTTTCTATGTCTTAACCCTTTTAAAAATTTTGTTCCACCATTGTATTTGGTGGACAATCTTGTGTTAGGAGGTTAACGGGACGGGCGCGGGTCATCGTTTAGACCATGATTGCAATAGTGCCAAGTGTCTTTGGCAATTTTCTTTTAAGGGACTTGATCATTTTTAGGCAACTTTCGAAAGCGTCATCGAGGGACTATGATCATTGGATTTGTTTTGTTTTGCCAAAGACACCCAACATGCAACATGGCCCATTATTGAAGGCAACAAGTGGAGTAACCCTAGGGGTGCAAGTGTGATTGGTGTTGCCCATTTTCATGCTTTTTGTCTTTTGTTTAGTCAAGCTATTTGTTATTTTTGATTTGCATACAAAACCCTAAGTCTATCATGGCATATTTAGAAAGCTTTAAAATGCGGAATTAAAAATCCTAAATTATTACACAATAATCATGGGGATGGGGGTACAAATGTCCAAATGGGGATGAGACTTAATAGGAGAATAGTATCCAAATAAATTTACAACAAAATCGAATCAATCGCAAATGTAAAAATGATCAATGTGTAAGAATAAAGCAATGTAAGTGTATCAATGTGTTTGTGTAAGTGTATGTGATTTATTTACAAGTGAAATAATAAAAAGGTTAATTTTTGGATATTTTCACATTTTAGGGCAAAACCCTAATTTTGTAAATAAATGGTATTTATTATTTAATATATACAATATTTATTAATTATATACAAAAATAAATAAAAGAGAAGTATATTTGTAAAAAAGTAATTTTTGAGGTCAAATATTAATAAAAATAAAATGTATTATTTTTTGTATTTTTATCCTAAATATTCTAAATATATAAGTATTTATATTATTTACTAAATATATTAAATATGTACAAAAAATAAAAATATTTATTATTTACAAAAAAAAGTATATTTTTTTAGAAAATGTTTTCAAAAGATAAAATAAAATAAAATCAGAAAATAAAAATGTATTTGTATTATTTTTAGTATTTTAAATAAAAGTATATATATATCGGTCTCCATCCCGGACATATCTGACTTGCTTGTGAGGCCCCACATGCAGCCCTCTAGGCAACCCTTGCCTCCATCACCAATCTCTTCTACTCGGCCACTGAAAGATCCACCATCTTATTTCTAAAGAAAGAAAAATACGGGATAAGTATTGCATAAGAACAGGTGATAACTAAAACAAAAACAAAGGTTATTACCAAGGAAGTCAGGAATATGTTCAACGGTTAGAGATAATAAATCTTTAACCTTCATCATACAGAAAGAATCAAGTACGATCAGAGCTTGGACTTCCAAGTCACTTAACTTTTCAAACGTAAACCCAAATATAGGAGAGGGGTCTCGAGTCCAGTAGAAGGGAAAGTGATGCTGCCCAACCAAAGAGTATAATACTTGGGGGCACCTCGGCCCACATTTCACCTTCAGAAAATGCTCCTTAAAACCCTTATAGTTATTGGTGCACACATGGAGGAAACTTTTGTAAGGAAGACCATTAAATTGGATTCACGAAAGCTTCTTGGCCCCTTTTACCTCATAAAAGAAGAAGAACAGACCGACTGTGAGAATGATATCCATTGCCTCACAAACCATCTCAAAGGCCTTTGTAAAGCCCCAACTGTTGGGACGAAGTTGGGAGGGCGCGACATTCATGGTCTTCAAAACATCAGCTTCGAACTCAGAGAAGAGTATGCAGACTCTGAAATCTTCCAAGACCCTAGCATAGAAATAAAAGAATTCTTCATCTGTGGACTTTCAATGAAGCATACATACGCGATTCTCGGGAACACACGCCTCCGGGATAACGTCACTTCTTCACCAATTGAAGAGACCGCCATCAAAGACCAAAGTTTAGCGGTCTCTGTATCATCAAGCACGCTATTCTTGTAACCCATTAATTCAAGGTCGAAAGAGGCAGAAGTTTCCATCAGAAATTCTATGGAACCCGAGTAGAAAGAATCATAGTCAGAATCACTCAAAGAAGCAATGGTGAAACCATAAACTTCCCTTATGATCCGATCAAACCCCTTCTGACCTAGAACACTTCGAACCTCTCGCATGAATTGGTCCCATAACTCTTTTCTCTCTTTAGCGTTAGAGGGTTTTACGACATTTCCTTTGTCATTACATTCCCTTAGGGTAACCATAATCTAAAAGGCAAAATGAAAACGAAAAGATAAAAGAAAATACCTATGAAATGGAGAACACTTGAAGATGATTGATCATCTTTGAAAGATGTAGCGCCTTCTGCAGTGTTAGAGATAAAAAGGGAAATAAGGAAAAGTAGAGCTTTAATATAGTCCAAGGAACAGTGCACTAGGAGAGGAAAACATCACCCAATGAACAACGATTTAGGTGGAAGTCATTATTACTTTAAGAAAGATAAAATGGTGACTTTTCACTCCATGACACGTGGGTCAGAGTAGAGCAGCAACCCGGCGGCGCCTGCATTACCTTCCGCGACTACGTGATTGAATACAATGTCCTTACAAGAAATGACTTGAATTATAAGGCTTATGTATATCCCAGAAACAATAGGCCCGACCGGGTAGTGTAATCAACAAGAAGAAAGGTTAAACCAGTGGTCGACTCAGGGCGAAGATATCTGGAGTGCACTCGGCTAAGGGAGTATCAGATGATCCATGGATCCGGGTAGGAACTCATCATCATCATCGATCCGGATAGGGTAGGTAGCCGGAACGTGCCTACCTGTGACCGATCATCACCTCGGCTCATTAATGATGGTAACCTCTGGCGGCGCAATCACTACAATGTTACACAACTTTGATTCCTTCATGTATGGGGACGATAGAGGTTATAGAGTTATAGAACTCAAGAGTCGCTCATTAACTGAGGCTCTTGATGACGCAAAGATACACACTATATAAAGGGGCTCTCGCAAAAGGGATAAACAAGACATTCATCTTAGGACACAAGCTTCTCTAGCGTATCTCCCAAATCTCCCAATCATCTCATAAACTCACTTCGGTAAGCTCTCCCTAGCAACCTCCTGGGGAGTCGGGATTGTTCTACACAAGAACAATATATATATATATATATATATATATATATATATATATATATATATATATATATATATATATATATATATATATATATATATATATATATATATATATATATATATATATATATATATATATATATATATATATATATATATATATATATATATATATATATATATATATATATATATATATATATATATATATATATTAGTAAAAGACTTGTGCGTCTGTACGATAAGTTTATTCATATCTTAGATCATTCGATAAGACTTGATTGTTGCTATTATATAATTGTTATTATAAAATCACTAATAACTGCAAATATTTAAAAATAAATATATAGTAAATTACTAATATAATAAATCCAATATGTCTAATAATTATATATTTACAAATATCATTAATAAATATTTTATTGATTAAAATAAAAAAGTATTATGGTAATAGTGATCCATGAAAATTATGAATTTAAGTGATAAAATTCATAGGAGTTAGTAAAATTTACAAATATCACTCTCATTGTTTTATTAGAATACAATAATAAATTAATAATTTTAGTGATAAAATTCAAGAGTTGTATTAAGAATTACAAAATGAGAAACTATGATGTAAATCTTTCCATAATTGTTGCATAGATATATTGTCAAAAAAAAAGTTTTTTTTTACTTCTCAAGGGTAGTCAAACAATCGTGCCCTTTGATTAAATAAAGCAAGGACTTTGCTTCTTACAGTTAGTAATCAACCATTCAATACTCCAATTAAGTTACGGATGTATGTAGACAGTCCAATAAGACTCTGGGATCATGTAGCATTCATTGACCCTGTGTTGGAATACAATCTGAGCCTAGAAGTATCAAAGCTATAAATAAGAGACACCGTCGATCTGATTACGCGCATCAATTATACAGACAATCTGAGCCTAGAAGTATCAAAGCAATTATATAGAATTTAACTTAATGATAGGGAAGAAGAAAAAAAACAATGATCTCTGACCTGAGTTGTATCTTGGGGATGGCATAATATTTTCATCATTGTATGTTAGTTCCATGTTCCTATTACTGATCATACACTGTAAAATATATTAAAAGACTACAACTTATAATGTTACAGTGTTCTAAGCGTGTCACCTCAAAGTAGAGTGTAAAGTAGTACATAAAGTGCACTGGGGTAGATCCAAAAGTGAAACTAACCGCCATTTTATTTAGTGGACAAATTAGTTAGTAGGATATGCTTGTTTGAATACGTAGCAGTTACGAATTCTACACGAATTTCACTTACCAATACGAAAAAGTATTGCATTTTAGTACTGCATTTTTTTGCCTTTGAACTTCCTATACATCATGCTGACATGCCCGTATGTTTTGAAAGCTACATTAGAGTGCCTTTCCTGGTTAGATGAAACCAATAACCAACTCTGCGATCATATTGAGACCTGTTTTTAGGTTTGTTATTGCTTCAATGACACCAATTGGTAAGGAAAATACTAATGCAATTGCTAGAGAAAGTAAGATTCCCCACCACGGAGGTTGAAGTTGTTTCCCGAAACCTTCGAAAGCTACCATAACCAACATAACCATTAAGATTAGAATGGAAACCCAAACGCCGCGGGCAACCTTAAATATATTGAATACAAAGTTTGTTGCAGTGTCTGCGCCCCGAAATTTGATGGTTGCATGTCGCATGCTTCTACTGCTTCTTCTTTAGTTGTTATTATCATGCGAGATGCAATGATCAATATTTCAATAGAGAAAATATTCGTAAGGCAATGCAGTGCAACAAAACCAACCTAATTTGACTATTTTGGAAAAATTTAGGCGCATACAAAGAGGATTTATGATGAAATTGAAAATAGAGTATCTACCTAATGAGTTAAGTTTGAAGGGCACCTTGGTTAGTTCTTCAATAAGAGGTTGAATCAAAGCTAGTAATGACATCATAACAATCATAACCTTTAAGAAATTATCCTCAATTTTTAATGTACCGTAACTGTGATGTGATGAGATACTAACACATAAACAATGAATATAGAATGTAATGACCAAATGAAGTATAAAATTGCAAATCTTGGTGCAAAAACGGAAATTTTGAACTTCTTTCTTAAGCCTTATCTATGAGTGAAGCAACTAGGAAATATAATGAATAAATGAAAAGTCATCGAATATTTATTTATTTTAAGAAAAACATCAAAGAAAATCTATAAAGGAAAAGATCAAGGTCTTACGATCAAAAGAATGGTATATGAGTCGATTACGTAAAGGGAAGGTATTAGCACCCCTCACGTCTGCTGTACTCAACGGGATCCATTCTTGTTGTTATAAACAAAGGGTGTGTTACATCTGAAATTTACAAGCTAAGGAAATGCATGAATATATTGTTAACAAACAAAAAGAAAGCTTTTTATTATTGTGCTCGTCTCGGTTTCGAAACCTCGTGCCTACGTATTCCCGTCGTATAATAGAGAATCAGAACATCGTAGTTCTTCTAAAAAAGAATTGCTCTGTTTGTGTTTTTTAGGCGGATAATGTTACATTCACATTCTAGCAGTTGACATATTGATATCCGACCTTTTGGAACTCACGCATCGTATTGCGCAGAATGGAAATAACACATCCTTTTTATGAAAAGATTTTCAAAAGAAAAGTCTGAAGGCAAAAGACTTTGAATTTGTGAGTGTTTTTGTTGGGATAATAGCAAATGGATCCCAATGGAGGGACACTTTCTACTTCTTCGCTTATTTGTGAAAAGGGTTGTGAATTTGATCATACTAAAGACTATGGATGAAAGAAAGAACCGAGTTTGGAATGTACCGCCTCATCCTTTTCCCACCACTTAAGGCTCATGACATATGATTCACATCTTTATTCATTAAGTGTTTTTGAGTTTTTGATAAGAAAAAGAAGTTTTATTCGCATCTTTAATCAAAAGGAAACTCAAATCCTAATGTTGTCATGCAATGTGGTCCTAAAGTTAGGATTAAGGGAAAACTACCTAATGTTAGCATGCAAAATGAACCTATAGGCGAGGATTAAGGGAGCTACCTAATGTTATCATGCTTGGTTTAGAACCTAAGATCTACAAGATGAGTATCCTAAGGAAACATACAAGTCAAAAGACAAAGACAATAAACAAGAATATAAACATCTAAAGAAATAGCTCAAAAGTCAGCCCAACACCTAAGTGTAAAGGTCAAACATCAACACAAGTAGCAAACAAACAAGAGCCTAGAACTAAACATGCTTCAAGGTCATCAATTAATAAACAAAGATGTGTTAAATTAAATACTCAAACACACACTACAATCCTTAAGGGTCATGCTTAAAATATTTCAAGATCTAAGACCTAGACAAAAGCAAACAAACATTGCACAAGCAAACAAAGCTTTAGGCAACAAGCAAACACCACAACTTAGCACGCATAGGCCGTATGAGTTAAGTAAGATAAAGACTTAAACAAATCAGTAAGCACACCTCAAAGAGTTCAAGTAAATATGTATCAAAGATAGGGAAATAATCACAAAGAAATCCATCAAGAATTGGATCAAAAGACCAACCAAACACCAAAACTAGTCCCTAAGAACTAAACCACAAGTGAATGAGGTATTAAGGTTCAAACATGAAAATAAGGTAAGACATAGATTAGACAAAAAGTGAATTCAAAACATGTCTCATGATTTCAAGAAGCTCATACAAACATCACATTTAAACAATGTTCAAGCAACTAAGCAATTCCACAACCAATGTCTTCCTTAAGAGGAATCATTCATTCATGGAAAATAAATGATTAAATAAACATGTGATAAAGCAAGAAGTAGAAACAAGTTAGAAGCATACTCAAAGTATTCAATATTCATCATAGCTTATAAATATCAAGCATCATACACAACAATTGGTTATACAATCCATAATCAAACCCTAAAGCATCACCCAAGTGAATAAGCATCATCATGTTATACAAAAGATTAAATGAATCATAGAAATATGATACAAATACCAAACAAGTCAAAATAAAATACATATTGATCTCATTATACGAATCTCTCAAGCATCAAGGTTCAATCATACAAGTCATGTTCAAAACATAGGCTACAAAATAAGCATTCATCAATTCAAAGCATCATCAACATGTATCATCTATGTAAAGCATTTGAAGGATAAATTGAACAAAAATGAATTGTCTCTAACTCATGGCAAGTGACTCAAGAACAAGTGGGAATCAAAACCCTAATGGTTGTACAAGTGCATCCTCTAATCATTCAATCAAAACAAACATTCATTAATACATATAGTCATGCATCAAGACATCACAAGAATAAACAATTAGGAAGCCTAAAAAATAAGTGATATAGCATCAAGATATCATGAAGTCAGCCACCAAACAAATTTTTTAATGTGCCTAAAAGAGTGCTCAAAAAACTCATCAAAACATCATCAAGCATCTACAATTATCTCAACAAGACATCATGCATTAGAGGCCTCCAAAAAGAAATCAAACACTCATTAATTAACCATAAATATACTTCAAATAAACTCCCAAACCCTGAGCATTTATGTGTCTAAAAGTGTCTCAAAAATTAGCTCAAGAGGCATCACAAAAGTCACCAAACACAAGGTTTAATCAAAAGCAACAACACCCAAAACACCTTGCACAATTAACTAAATTAAAATAGAAAATAAAAAATAAAAAAAATGCCAAATTAAATTTTCTGCTAATTTTTGTGAGGAAAATAAATATTAAAACAAAATTAAAATTAAAAATGAACAAGTATTACAATTAAAAAGCCAAGGGGTGCGAATCCAAAATGCCAGATTCTAACTAAATTAAGTTTACACGCTACACATGGGCCTGGAAGAGAGGGTGTGGAAAAGAAAAGGTCTAAGCCCAGTTTGCTTCAGTCCAATTACCAAACAAACAATTCACCTATTTTATTTTATTGTATTTCAACTAAAATTAATATAACTAAAATGTAACAAAAATCACGTCACACTATATCAATTGGTCATGTCTGATTTAATGGACTAAAAGACAAAACAACCAGCCAACCAATCACAGATCATCATCTCTTTCATTTTTATTTCGTTATTTAATAAAAGTTTGTTTAAAATAAAAAAAAACAAAAAACATGAGCGAATCAAAATCTGACACACCATCATTTTCTTCATGAAACTAAAATAAGAACCAGGTTCATGCCCTAGTTACGTGATTTCTCCGACCACAAAACCACCACCTACGGTGGCCATACTCCATTAAAAATGACAAAATAAAACACCATTCCACGAAATTTTGTGCGCAGATCGTGAATACGTCTTTAGATTTAACAAACAACAGCTCTAACATCATGAAAAATGAGCAACATGACAGGCACACGAAAACTGAGAACAAATTCAAATCATCACGTATTCAAAGTTTACCCAATGCTTACTTGTGGTAGGGCTCAGATGCGATGTGTATGACCTATTCATATGATTTCCAGATTTAGAATGAGAGAGATTGAGTTTGAAGAAGCTTACCTAGTGGAGAGAGATCCACTGCCTTTTCTTCGAGCAAAGAAGAAGAAAACTCTGCTAAACCTTCAAGGATCTTAAATGGAGTTTTTGGGAGCAAGAGAGGAGCAAGAAATCTCTAGAATATTGAGCTTCAAAGGTGAGAGAACTTGAGAAGCTTGAGCAAATTTCAGATCTCCTTTTTCTTCCTCCAAAAACGTGTCTTGAGAATGAAGAGAGAGTGTGGTTTTTATAGTTGTTTATGTGAGGTTAAAAAGTGACTCAGGTTAAGGAAATGGTTAGAGAATTTGTTGGAAAATTTTTGTAAAAACTTGGAGTGTGAGTGTGTGATGCGTTTTGAGTGTATTGTGTGGTGTTGATGCTGCTTTTTGGTGTGCACATGAGATCGTGGAATAAGTGAGACTGAGGTCACGTGGGATTGAGGTGAGAGGAAGTTTTGCCAACTTTCGCAATATTTTCAATTTTGATGCATGCATACCTCATGCATTGTTTGGTCATTAATAGTAAAAAAGAGAGTGGTTTGCATGCATAATGACCTATCAATACCATGCTGCAAGCAAAGATGACAAAAATGAAAACATAAAAATTCAAGTGCTCAACTAAAATATGGCCATGCATGCTACTTTGATTGATCATAATTTGGTGAATTTTGATCCAAATGCTATGGTCTTGAGCTTAAAAAAATGTTAGGAGTGAAATGAATAAGTTTGGTGTTAATCACATCTTGAAACAAGCGTTGGATCTCTTTCAAAATTGCCCTCGAAATTAAACACTTGAGACTGACCAACATGCCCATAAGAATTCTCCAACTGTTTTGACAAACTTGCTATTTTCAGCAACTCAAATCAATGACTTTATAAGCTCAAATCTTAAAGTTTAATGGACCAAATGATGAACTTCTTGAAGCATTGGAAAGATAAAAAATTGCTCTGCAACTTTGGGGTTTTTTTTCAAATTGAAATGAAGCTTGCATCATAGAGAGATTTAGCTTGCAAGTCATGAAAATGAAACTGATCAAATACCTCAAAAATCTCACTAAGTGTCAAAAGTTTAATCTAGACGAACACCTCTCTTCTTGCTCAAATATCTTACAATCCATGGGCTTTTTGAAAAATCACTCACTAGGGAAAAGTTGAAGTATGAAACTTTATCTTCATTTTGATCATTAGTTTGAGAATTTCTGATCAAAATAGCATGAGTTATGGATTTGAAAAGATGGCAATATGAACATGATTTTTTTATACTTCGAAAAATTTCCACACTTTTTCAAGATAACTTCTTTTACAAGTTAATTCAAATTTGATAATTTCTCTTGATTTTCTTCACCCAATGATCAAATTTTTTTATCTCTTAGACTTTAACTTTGATTTTGACCAACAAATTCTCTGGTCAAGCTTTGACTTTTATGTGGATTTTTAATCAGATGCCTTTTATTCCTCTTTTATCCATCCCATTTTGATTCTTCTAATGAAATGTATTGATCAATAAAGTGAACATAGTTTCCTTGACGCAAGTAAGGAGCATGTTTTGCTCAAAAAGTAAATCATAAATTGACTTTGACAAAAACCCTAGTCAACAGTAAAAAAAAGTTAGGAGGTGATGATCAACTCTCAAAACGCTAATTCCTCTGAGGAAACGTGAGAATCTCATGAACACATATGACTTGTGTATTGAGATAATGCTCATGATGATGAGACTTTCAAGCTTCTAGCCCATGTAGGTCAATTCTTCTTCTTGAGTGACACACAGTCACACAATCAAAACCCTTGATCCCATACAAATGAAACAATGTAATGCAGATGATATGTAAGATGATGAAGCATAAGCTTAAAGGGTATAAAACACAAGAGGAAAAATTTTAGGATACAACAACTACCCCTATTCGATCTTCTTAAACCTCAAGGTGAGAAAAGTAAAATCTTTCGAACATTCTAAGTAGAAGAGGGTTGAATACCAAAAGAATCGTAAAATTTGCACTCTGAATAAAAAAGGATGTATACTAAATATTTTTGGTATTTTTGGGTGCCTCTACTAACGAGCTTTGGAAGGTGTTGGAGTGATATTCCCGAAGGATTCCTTCACAAGATGGGATGGAAATTTTTACCAAGCAAACTTGCATAAATTGGATCAACAAAAGTCTTCTACTTCACAGAAGAAACAAACGAAGATTATAATCAAAGGGATCTTCTTCTACACAGAAGAAATGATTTCATATTCTATTTCACAGAAGAGAAATTTAGTAACTGAATTCTAGAGCGACTC